ACTGATGGTTTGCCTCCTGCACTTGCCCAGATTGGGTTGGAGATCCAACCTCCCACCCAAGTATGTGCCCTTGACTGGGAACAGAATCTAACCACTGAGCAACACTGTCCAGGGCCTGAAAAAGTACTTTGGTTGTGTTTCACTTCAGCTAAAATACTTCTCAATTTCCTGTAACCAACCTTGTGTTTGTTTTCAGGACATCCATCAGCTGCTTCCAACCTGAGTTCCCCCCTTCACCCAGCCACACCCTTGGTTACATTCTCCTGACTGCCAGCAAGCCCGGCTTCTTGCTGGGAAGTCATTCGGGGTGCTTCCCCTTGCCATTCCCCTAATCCAAAGCCTAGTCATCCCTGGGGGCGGGCGGGGAGAGACGGGGGGGGGGGGGGGGGGAGGGCGGGAGGGTGGGGAGGCGGGGGAGAGGGGGCACAGGGTTGTGAAGGAGGTGAAAGAAAATAACTGAAATTCTTTTTTTTTTCATGCTTTAAAGGATAATTTTATTTGAATCTACTAATTTCTTTCCACTCAAAATTGGGAAGATAAAGAAACATAAAGTATGAGGCAAAGGGGAGATGGTCTAAGTGTTTGTGTCTTCGGGTTTTTACCGGCACAACAACCCTTCAAGCCCGGAGCTGCTCCAAACCGAAGGGTGAGAAGAAAAACGCTATTGCAAACAGGTCCTGTGGTAGGTGTGCTCCAGCAGGAGCTGGCTGTAGCAAATCGTTCCACTTCAAACCTGCATGGATATGTTAGACATTATTTGGAAGTAATTGATTTCTAGTCAATTCAACCCAACATTATGCCAACTTTTGCATTTATTGTAGACACTATTTTAAGTACTAGAGATTAAATTTTCATCACCAAAACATGAAAATAGCAGCTACTGCCCTAACCGGTTTGGCTCAGTAGATAGAGCGTCGGCCTGTGGACTGAAGGGTCCCAGGTTCGATTCCCGTCAAGGGCACGTACCTTGGTCGCGGGCACATCCCCAGTAGGGAGTGTGCAGGAGGCAGGCGATTGATGTTTCTCTCTCATCGATATTTCTATCTCTCTATCCCTCTCCCTTCCTCTCTGTAAAAAGTCAATAAAATATATTTTTTTTAAAAAGAAAAAAGCAGTTACTAATAAGGTAATGAGCTGTGAAAGTCATTCCCCAGCATTGCTTTGAAAATATACCCTGGTTAAGAGAAAATCTGACTTTATTCAAAATTTTCAGCCTTCATCTACTGTTGGCTTGATCATCACTCTTTTTTTTTTTTTTTTTTTTTTTTTTTTTTTTTTTTTAAATATATTTTATTGATTTTTTACAGAGAGGAAGGGAGAGAGATAGAGAGAGTTAGAAACATCGATGGGAGAGAAACATCGATCAGCCGCCTCCTGCACATCTCCCACTGGGAATGTGCCCGCAGCCCAGGCACATGCCCTTGACCGGAATCGAACCTGGGACCCCTCAGTCCGCAGGCCGACGCTCTATCCACTGAGCCAAACCGGTTTCGGCATCACTCTTTTTTTTAAAATATATTTTATTGATTTTTTACAGAGAGGAAGGGAGAGGGATAGAGAGTTTGAAACATCGATCAGCTGCCTCCTGCACACCCCTCACTGGGGATGTGCCCACAACCAAAGTACAAGCCCTTGAGGGGTCCTGGAATCGAACCCGGGACCCCTCAGTCCACAGGCCGATGCTCTATCCACTGAGCCACACCGGTCAGGGCTTTTTTAAAAAAAATAATATATTTTTATTGATTTCAGAGAGGAAGAGAGAGGGAGAGAGAAACATCAATGATGAGAGAGAATCATTGATTGGCTGCCTCCTGCACGTCCCCTACTGGGGACCAAGCCCGCAAGCCAGGCATGTGCCCTCGGCAGGAATCAAACCCACGACCCTTCAGTCCTCAAGCCAACGCTCTATCTACTGAGCCAAGCTGGCTAGGCCAGGGGTGGGCAAACTTTTTGACTCGAGGGCCACAATGGGTTCTTAAACTGGACCGGAGGGCCGGAACAAAAGCATGGATGGAGTGTTTGTGTGAACTAATATAAATTCAAAGTAAACATCATTACATAAAAGGGTACGGTCTTTTTTTTCAATAGTTTTATTCATTTCAAACGGCTGAATCCGGCCCTCGGACCGTAGTTTGCCCACGGCTGCACTAGGGCGATCATCACTCTTCTTATTTGACCCCATCCAATCAAACACCAGTGTTTCTCAACTCTTCGGGGAAGGGCAATTTTTTCTCCGACTTCTGTGGACACAGGATTAAGTCTAAACGATTTTGCCCCAAATCGGCCTTGGCTGCATTAACTTCTCCATTCGAAGGGACCCTATGTTCACAGTGAACACTTCATTCTTAGACAACTGTGGCACCGTTGCTGCTTTTTTGTCTCCTTCAGTGCGTACACCTGCAAGCCGGCTAAACAGGAAACAGATTTCTAATTCTGTGAAGGTCTCAGGTGAAGCTCCAACTGCACCAAGCACCTGCCCGACTGTTAGCCCGGCACACAGTGGGTTTGATTTTTGTTCCAATTCCGTAAGAGCTTCTGGAGCAGCATTATATTCTGCAGACAATGACACAATTTTGGGAAAAAATTGGTTTACGCATGAGTTTTCCTTCACTATCTATGGAAACAATACCAGGTCTGACTTCTATCTCCCGGCCCACCTTTCATACTGCTTTTAGAACACTACCACCAGCTACACCCCCTTCAGGTCATCAACTGTAGAGCCACATTTGTTGACATCAAATGAGCTGATAACAATAAGTATTTCAAGCTGAGTAGAAATTGGAATAATAGGAGCTCCTTCTTCTACAGCAGTGGTTCTCAACCTTGGCTGCACATTAGAATTCCCAGGTGATTCTAATGTGCAGCCAAGGTTGAGAACCACTGTTCTACGGTACCTTGTACAAACGTAAGGATCTGTCCATACTGTTCTTTAGGCAGGCTTTCTTTTACCAAATCAATTTTATTTTGTAGAATCCAAATATGCTTTCGTTTCATGATTTCTATAGCAGCCCGGTGTTCAGAAGTCTGAGGCTGAGGACAAGACTCATGACCAGCTACAACAGAAGAGCTACCTCCATCACTGCTGCAGGTTCAGCATTCAAAATATTGTGGCCAAGCCCAGCTCAGCCAGTGTGGCTCAGTGTTTGAGCAGCAACCTATGAACCAGGAGGTCACAGTTCGATTCCTGGTCAGGGCACATGCCTGGGTTGCAGGCTTGATTCCCAGCAGGGGGTGTGCAAAGGCGACAGATCAATGATTCTCTCTCTCCCTCTCCCTTCATCTCTGAAATTAATAAAAATATATTTAAAAAATACATCGAGGCCAGGACATCGACAAAGGAAACATGTCCGGCTAATGTGAAGTTGCCTTTGGTCCCTGGAGTGTCTAGGAAACTCATCATCCATAGGATCTGTCACATTCTGGAGGAGGACAACTGAGTCATCAAGTTTATAAACCTTAGCATTGGTTATCCAAGCTTGACTATTTCTTTCTAGTCCATTTTTGAACCCGACAGTGTGAACCCCAGAAACAGCTTTACAACCGGATTTCCCATGAGCTACATGACCAACTGTATTGATATTAACTGTCGATATTAATTGTGGCTTTTCTGCTGATAACTTCCTGGGAAAGTGGCATCAATGTGGTAACATCCCAAGTGCGAGATCCTGGGAAGGTGCAGCAGCCCGAGTCCTTCCAGGCCCCCCTCACCACGCACCCCCACCTCTGCCATCCTGCCCGGAGGGATGAAATTCTTTATTAAGTACCTATCTGCTTCCTTTTATAGTATTCTGTTCAATAAGGGCCCTACTCAGGCCAAAAACAGCGTAAAGCTGTCCTAACTTCTATATTCGCACAACTCAGGATTTTTTTTCAATTGTTAAGAAAGCATTTGATACTTACAGCTTATTAGACTACTAGACACCGTAGGAAAGAATCCTCTGCTCTATTTTTTGTTTTTTTTTTGTTTTGTTAATGTATCTTTATTGTTGAAAGTATTATAGATGTCCCCATTTTCCCCCATTAACCCCCTCTACCCGGCTCCTGCTCTCATTAATTTATACTTTTATTGATTTCAGAGAGGACTGGAGAGGGAGAACCATGGAGCGGCTGCCTCCTGCAGGCCCCGCATTGGTGATGGAGCCCGCACCTGGGCAGGTGCCCTGACTAGGAATGGAACCGAGACCTCCGGGTTCATAGGTCGAGGCTCACCCACTGGGCCACCGGCTCCTGCCCACTTTCATGTTCTCCCGGAGGTTAGGGCTGGTCCATGGAAGTCACTCCTAACACATACTCATGACGTGCCGGATGGGACCTAGTGCTCGAGCATGAACTTTGAGTTCTAATCTTGACTCTCTCACTAATTAACCGGGACCGGGACAACCTGCTCAACTTGAGTGAACTAACGGTAGCCTGGAGTCCCGGACACCCATCCCGGGAGAAATAAAGGTAAATGTATGCGAACCCCGCAGCGCAAGCTCCGGCCCGCGCTTGCGGCTCAGCAACCGCCCTTGGCCGGGCTCAGGCCCGGGGAGGCCCCAAGGTCAGTGGTTTCGGAAAGAAAGGCCGCGGGGCAGTGTGTGCGGGGCGGGGGAGAGCCTGGCCCTACGGCTTCCAGCGCCCAGGACCCGCCTTCCCGCGGACGCGCTGGGGCGGCGCCAAGGCCGTTCAGGGAAACGCGAGTCTCTCCTCCCGTAAAGTCGCCCGACCCGGGGCTGGCCCCGCCGCGGCCGCCAGGAAAGGGCGGGCCGCACTCCAGACCCCGCGACCCCGCTCCTCCCCCCGGACCCGCGGGGCGGCGCCGGCGCGGGCGGAGCGCGGACCGCACCATCTGCCGCGGGGGGGCGGGGGCGGCCTTCCCCTGGGCGACACGGCGGACAGCACGGCGGGGTGCCCCGGCCCCGCGGTCCCAGCGGAGGGACTCTGCCGTCTCCGTCCCCGCGTTTCCCGGGCCCAGGACGCGGGCGGGGCGCGGGCGGGGCGGGTCCGGGGGCCGCGCACCCCCCGGGGTGGGTGGGAGCGGCGCGCAGGGGGCGGAGCCTGGCCGGCGGCGGTGTCCTTGCGGCGCGGCCCGGTCACCGGTTCACTGTTCGTACCGAGCGGTCAGCGCGGCGCGGCGAGGATTGCGGCGGCGTCACCATGTTGTGCCGGGCGGCGTGCAGGTGAGGCGCCCGGGCCGCGGCGCAGGGGACGCGGTCCCGACCCCGGGGAGGGGCGGCACGGACGGCGGGCGGAGGGCGCCTTCGGGCGCGGGTGGCGCGGACCGCGGCGGGCGGCCCTGCCTCCCGACAGGTGTTCGTGGGTCGCGTCCAGGTGCGGCCGAGGCGCCGAGCCGCTGCGTGAGTTTGTGCTTCAGGGAAAGTGGCGGCGGGCGGGCGGACTGCGGAGAGGCCCGCGGCGCCGCCTGCCTGCAGCCTCGTCGGCGCGGACAGACGCGTGGAAGCGACTGCCCGCGGGAGCCGACCGGTCGGTGGGGGTTGTCTCTCCAGCGCGAGCCGGGAGCTGGTGCCGGCTCTGGGGACCCTGGGCTCCCGGCGGAAGCACACCCTCCCCGACCTGCCGTACGACTATGGCGCCCTGGAGCCTCACCTCAGCGGCCAGATCATGCAGCTGCACCACAGCAAGCACCACGCGGCCTATGTGAACAACCTGAACGCCACGGAGGAGAAGTACCAAGAGGCGCTGGCCAAGGGTGGGTGCGGGCGCAGGGCAGGTGCGGGCGCAGGGCAGGTGGGGGTCAAGGGTGGGTGCGGGCTCAGGGCGGGTGCGGGCGCAGGGCAGGTGGGGGTCAAGGGTGGGTGCGGGCGCAGGGCAGGTGGGGGCCAAGGTTGGGTGCGGGCTCAGGGCGGGTGCGGGCGCAGGGCAGGTGGGGGCCAAGGGTGGGTGCGGGCTCAGGGCGGGTGCGGGCGCAGGGCAGGTGGGGGCCAAGGTTGGGTGCAGGCGCAGGGCAGGTGGGGGCCAAGGGTTGGTGCGGGCGCAGGGCAGGTGCGGACCAAGGGTAGGTGCGGGCGCAGGGCAGGTGCGGGCCAAGGGTGGGTGCGGGCGCAGGGCGGGTGCGGGCGCAGGGCGGGTGCGGACCAAGGGTGGGTGCGGGCGCAGGGCAGGTGCGGGCGCAGGGCGGGTGCGGGCCAAGGGCAGGTGTGGACCAAGGGTGGGTGCGGGCGCAGGGCAGGTGCGGGCCAAGGGCGGGTGCGGGCCAAGGGCAGGTGTGGACCAAGGGTGGGTGCGGGCGCAGGGCAGGTGCGGGCCAAGGGTGGGTGCGGGCCAAGGGCGGGTGTGGACCAAGGGTGGGTGCGGGCGCAGGGCAGGTGCGGGCCAAGGGCAGGTGCGGGCCAAGGGCAGGTGTGGACCAAGGGTAGGTGCCGGCCAAGGGCGGGTGCGGGCGCAGGGCAGGTGCGGGCGGCCTGCCCTGGCCCGGGAGAAACTGGCCCATGGAAACAGGACGCATCTCCGTGAGGAGATGCTCCTCTGCTCGCTAGGTCACTCCGCGTGTTCTTGAAATGCACAAGGAAAATACCCATTTGTGGGAAACTGGAAAGGCGTGTATTTGTTTACTAACATTTAGAATTCCGTTAAAATATAACATGGAGTTGCTATATTTTTAAAAGAGTCCGGTTGACAAAACCAGTAGCATGTGGACTCTGTTTTGTGTCTGGGGGTGTGTATGGGAATACTATGTTATAGTGTTTCTGTACAAAAAGCGATTACATTTTTCAACCTCGGAGTTTAAGCAGTGGTTTGCAGAGGAAGTAATTGACAGTCGTGTTTCCAGACTACAGATATGGCTTCATGAGCTACACAGTTAAAAAAATGTGTGTTTTTTTCTTAAATATATGCATTTTTATTGAATTTTAGCGCGATGAAATTGGTGGAGTAAATTTTAGACAGCGACACGTTGTTGACTGGGGGCATCTAGTGGAAAAATGTAGTATTTCAGCCTGACTGTGTACAAGGTAAATGGCTAAGCAAAAACCAGAGGAAGTTGCCACATTCTGGAATGTTTACTTCTGACCGTCAGAGAAACCTCAAGTATGGCTAAAGGTTCTGAATACGAGAAAAGTTTTGGCGATTTAGGACATAACAAATGCGGGAAGGAGGTGGTACGTGAGGCTGGGGAATATTCCAGTTGTGAAACTATTTCCTACATGACCACATCCTGACACCCCTGAACCTGTCTCTTCAATATGTTAAAAACAGCTCACTTTCCCTCCTTTTCTTGTGCACTCGTCGCTTTCCTTTTTCAATGAAAGCCACTGGGAAAAAAGCTTTATATTATATTCCATGTTGATCATAAATTAATAAGTAGCCACAGACCTTTCTTTAAAAAGTTATATTTTAAAAATTGTTAAAGATCTAAATTTTCATGTTTGCAATTTGGGATTAAAGGCATACAGTAAAATTACATCATCAGCCTTATCGCATGTCAGTAACATATTTTTCAAAGAAACATTTAATTTTTACTGTGTTTAACAGAAGAAAACTGAAGTGAAGCCAAAGAAAATGTTGAACTTCAGAAAAGTGTTCTTAAAAGCAGATACTAAGCCCTCCAATTTCTATTAAAATTTAAAAAGGATGAACTAAACTTTAAGAGATTGAAATTATTAAACTAATTTTCAATATATTTCTTTCCCATTAGAAATATGTAGTTACTGTTGACTTAATAAAACATAATTTAATAACTTACATTTATTTTTAGGGTGACTTTCCAAGAAAAATTAATAGAAACACTGATCTGTGAGAAAATCATTTTATAAACATAACAGCAAAATGTCGGCATCTTAAAAAAACTCTCAAAGATCAACTGTGTATTTAGATACCAGGTGGTCCGCTCCTCCTCTCTGAATTGCTAAGCAAGTGGAGATTTGGCTTTGTTTAAGGAAACAGTAGTATTTCTTACATATGTTCGAATGTGCCCTAAGAACAGAGTGGAGAACTTTTTCTATTATGTAATCTCTGAGCAGCGCTCAGTGGTTTTCTGTCCTTCGTTTTGCCTTTTGGTATCTTGTGAATCAGTGTTTATTTAGTAAGGAAACTCTCATTTTTCCTGAGAGTTCAGTTCATCTGTAGCTTCTGGAAGGCATAGGAAAAATTTTTTATTTTGTCTACTTACTACGCAAGGTAGAAAAAAAAATTTCAAACATAACTTTTTTTTTAGAAGGATATGTTTCTTTTTTTATTTTAGAGATGGAGAGAGAGATACTGCCTCCGACGTGTACCCCGACTGGGGATTGAACCTGAAACCTGGGTATGTGCCCCGACCAGGAATCAAAACCCTTGGAGTATGGGACGACCCTCCAACCAACTGAGACACACCGGCCAGGGCCATTCTTTTTTTATTAAGTGCTATAGATACCAGAGAATTTTTTACCTTAGAACTACATTCAATGTATTCCATTATCTAGTCAATCAAACATCGATTGAGCGCCTGCTATGTATGAGGCACTATAATGGGCTCTCGGACACAGCAGTGCATGAAAGTCCTTTCATTCTATTGGGGAGACAGATGAACCAGTCAATATGTAGGATGGCTTGCCGAAACCGGTTTGGCTCAGTGGATAGAGCATCGGCCTGCGGACTGAAGGGTCCCGGGTTCGGTTCCGGTCGGGGGCATGTACCTGGGTTGCGGGCACATCCCCAGTGGGGAGTGTGCAGGAGGCAGCTGATCGATGTTTCTCTCTCGTCGATGTTTCTAGCTCTCTCTCTCTCCCTTCCTCTCTGTAAAAAATCAATAAAATATTTAAAAAAAAAAAAATATGTAGGATGGCTGGGGTTGTAAATCTCACGCAGGAAAACCAAGTAGGGGAGTTGCCCAGTTTTCACTGTGGTTAGAGAAGGCTTCACTGATGGAGTTGTTGGTTCGGTAGAAACTTGAAGGAGAAAGGGGGGAGCGAAGCACGGGGAAGAGTGTCCCGCGCAGGAAGCGGTGGAAGCCCTGAGCCTGGAGCGCTGAGCTGGTCATGTAAGCGCAAGGAGGCCAGTGTGGCTGGAGGGGGCCCGCCAGGAGCTGCACAGGTCACATGGCGGGCATTTCTGTAGCCGTTGTAAGGACCTGGGGTTCGCTCAGAAGAGCAGCCTGGGGAGGGGTTGGCTAGAGGAGTGCCGTGATGGATGTGGGGTCTAGAGGAGGCTCTGGCCACGGCGGTGAGAACAGACTGTGGGGCAGATGTGGAAGCAGGAGATCAGCGCCGAGGGTGGCAGGCGGTGGTGGGAGATGGATGCCGCTGGTCCGCATGTGTGTGAAAGGGCGAGCTGGTCGTGCTGGTGGGTGAGATGTGGGTGTGAGAGGGAGGCTCCAAGACGACCAGATTATCAGAATGTCCTGAGGAGGCAGCTGGCATGTGGGTTGGAAGCCCACAGCCGGGGTGAGCTTGGGGTTGACAGTCAGGAGTTCAGTTTTGAATATGTTGTGTTTCTTGTTCACGTAACACTGAGAGATTTCCCAGTGACTAGGTGTCTATTTAGGAAACAAGAGGTGGAAAATTTTCATATAGTCAGTATATGGAACCAGACATTTTAGCATTCCATTTTCTATCTTTGTTCTTCATTATTTAATTTGCCAAAATCTTTTCTATCCAGGAAAACTGAGTTCTTTGAAGCTCAGAGTGGATTTTCTGCTAGCTTTGCCAACCCTGCTGCCACCCTAGTTGTTCAGCATGTTCCTAATCACCTGAAAATTCACTGGGACAAGTAATTTTGGGAAGTTCTTTTTTGGTAGAATCCTGAAATTGTAGAATTTTAGGACCTATAGGATGTTACAGAGAAGCTGATCCAATTATCTGACATTTTACAAAGAAGAAAATAGTGTACAGAATGGCTGACAAAGTAAGCATTTAAAAAAGTGTATTTGCATTTTAACATTTCAGGTGACGTCACAACTCAGGTAGCTCTTCAGCCTGCGCTGAAGTTCAACGGTGGAGGCCATATCAATCATAGCATTTTCTGGACAAACCTGAGCCCAAATGGTGGCGGAGAACCCAAAGGTTGGTATATCTTGGTACTAGCTTAGCTACATTTTGTGCATGATAGGAATGACTATTTTTTTTTTAATGCTACCCTAGTTTTCTCTGAGGTATCATAATGGCATATTTTTCATAGCAAGATGTGCAATCAATTTGTAGTAACTTTCAAAGGGACACATGGAAGAATGGAGTGCATTCACAGAGTTGTGTCCCCAGATTACATATACATGCATACAAAGTCACATGTGGTGTTGACTTTTGGTTGAAATGTATTGCACTATTCATTAGGGAAAGACTGAGAAATGGTTTTTAGAAAAGACAAGCTTCACTCACTAGCTCTTGGACCTGGGCTGAGACTTAACCATTCTGAACCTTACTTTTTTCCTCAGTATGATACGGGGATAATAATAGGACTGTTTTGAGAATTAAATGAGTTATTATATACAAAGAACTTAGAATGGTGCTTTTTGATATTATTTTACTTTTCTTCCTAAGTGAGAAGAAGTCCTTTGTCCCAGAAAACCTAGGTAATGAAGGAGGACAGAGCTGATGGCTGGGCCACTCCCCTTGTTCACTGGAGGTCGTGTGCAGTGTGCGGAGACTTTAATTATCCCCTGTACCCCAGGGAAGGTGTGGGGTATGAACATAGCTCCCTCCCTCGTTTCTGGGCTTCTGGAATGTACCTTAAGTTTGTGTGTGTGTGTGTATTTTAATTGTGTTCTAGAAGACATCTTAGGCACTTGAAATAAGCAATTTTATTAGGAAGCATTAATGAATGAGAAGCTGGACAATTTATTTTTTGTGACTTAGGTTTTCAGACTCTGACTTAATAGTGTTGAGTGTGTGAGTTACCAGAGTATCAGATACAACTCTGTTCAGTCAACAGGTGTTGGTACTGTCTGCACTTTGTGTTGTCTGTGTCACTTTATTCCTCATTCGTGCTTATGACAGATGATTCCTTTTAACAGAGAGGCGAAGGTTTTGGCCTAGTTGATTTGGTTGTTGTGCTCAGTCTAGAATTATATTCTGTATTGCTACAGAATAAAAGGGCTAAGCTCTTCAAGCGTATCCTTAGTTCAGTAACAGAAGGGAGAAAATAACTCTTTCTAAAATGATATCACTGAGATAGGAAAGATCTAGGCTGCCTTGGGGAAGAAACATAACAGCCATAACATTTTAGTCCCAAATTAAGACAGAATAAGTAGGGTAGAGGTCAAAGTAAAATTTTCTGCTGAGTGGACAAAAAGATGGCTCATGGAAACTGTTCTTTCTTTCCTGATGGCAGTAGCACCGTGAGGGGGGAAATCCCTCTGCAATGCTTCCGTGGCAAACACGCGAATTAACATCGTGAGGCCTGGGATGTTGCCCCAGGGCCGAGAATGCCGTGTTGTGGAGGCTCACTGGCTTTGTTGTGTCTTCTACCTGGTGTTGTCTAGTTGTATCTTGGGCCATAGGACAGGAACATTTTCATATACGTAACAGAATATTGTAGTCATTGCCAAATGTTCATTGTGAGTGTTCTTTGGATTTTTTTAAAACAGGGGAACTGCTGGAAGCCATCAAACGTGACTTTGGTTCCTTCGCCACGTTTAAGGAGAAGTTGACCACTGTGTCCGCTGGCGTTCAGGGCTCCGGTTGGGGTTGGCTTGGTTTCAATAAGGAACAAGGACGCTTACAGATTGCTGCTTGTTCTAATCAGGATCCCCTTCAAGGAACAACAGGTTAGATTGGAAAATTGTTACCCATCCATTCAGGAGAGATGGTTCACATACAGAAAACTAGCAGGGCTCATGCTTATCTGTAGACTTATTTGAGCAAATCTTAACAGATGATACCCAGAGTCTAAGCAAAGTGCTTTAAAAGTTCTTGATATTTTGAAATCTTAAGTCTTATAAAACATAAGCACACGTGCCTGGTCGGGTGTGGCTCAGTGGTTGAGTGTTGAACTATAAACCAGGAGGTCACAGTTTAACTCCCTGTCAGGGCATGTGCCCGGGTTGTGGGCTCTGTCCCCAGTAGGGGGCATGTAGCAGCCAATCGATGAGTCTCATCATTGATGTTTCTGTCTCTCTCCCTTTCCCTCCCTCTCTGAAATCAATAAAAAATCTATATATATAAAAGTCTAAGCGACCGTCCGACCGGTAGCTATGATCTGCAATGACCACCAGGGGGGCAGAGCTCCGACTCATAGCTATGACGCGCACTGGCCACCAGGGGCAGACGCTCAACGCAGGAGTTGCCGAGCTGCAGTGACTTGGCAGCTAAGGTTCTCAGGTGACACACCCAGAACCAGAGAGGAGGGAGCCCGATTCCGGGGTGCATCACCCAAGAACCGCCCTGGGTGAGACCCTTGGGGGATGTCGGAGAGCTAGTTTCGGCCTGATCCCCGCACTGGGCCTCTAGTATATGTATAAAAAGCACATGTAATTTAATAGATACATTAACAAAAAATGTCTTAAACATAAACTGCTTCATTTGATAGTTCATATCAGCTTACATAATTATATGCACTAAAATTAGATAAACAACAAGAACGAGGAAAAGACGTCTGATTTCAGACCTTGGACCACTCTTTACTGAGCACTTGTGGTCAGACTGGGAGGAGCGCGCCGATTTCCAGACGGCTGCCTCTCCAGGGGTTTTGGTATACGACAATATTTGGCTTGGAGGCGCCAGGCTGGGCTCACCCCGTCCTTTTTCATGTTGAGCCAGATTGCATTAGAAGCCCTTTAGGAGAAAGAATCCCACGCCGTCCAGCAGTTAGCTAGAGCTGTGACCTCTGATGCAAAGAAGCCAAAGCTGCCTTTATGACCTGTGCACACATCCGAAGACGTGGTTGCATGACGCTTCCCTGGACACGCTCAGATTTTCCTGAACCTATACCGCTCTTCTGAGAAAGTGAGATGCTACAGGATTTGTAAAAGCAGCAAAAGACCTGTGAGCGTGACATGCTTAGGGAGTCAGGCCTACCTCCGAAGGGACCACCTGGAGAGGCTTGACTTCCAGGTGGATCCTGGCCACACCTCCTGTGTCTCTCTGGTTTTCCTTGTTAACTTGTTCTATTAGCGCCTCATAAACGCTTTTATTCTCCAAGCCTAATAGCCTTGGGGGCAGGGCAGGTTTCTCATCACCTCCCTGAGTACTCAGGACCTTTGGAGGGTCCTCAGTCACCCCACAAACAACATACTCTTACTGAGATCCCCAGTAAGGACGCCTAAGAACTGGCTCTTGTATCTGTTGGCATTTTAAGAACAGCTATTAAAATACTGTAGTTAATTTATTTTTCTCAGCTATTTTTTTTAAAATATATTTTATTGATTTTTTACAGAGAGGAAGGGAGAGAGATAGAGAGTTAGAAACATCGATGAGAGAGAAACATCGATCAGCTGCCTCCTGCACACTCCCTACTGGGATGTGCCCGCAACCAAGGTACATGCCCTTGACCGGAATCGAACCTGGGACCCTTGAGTCCGCAGGCCGACGCTCTATCCACTGAGCCAAACCGGTTTCGGCGCTATTTTAATTATTTCTAATATTAATCACATTTCCCTTCCAAAGAGTAAAGTTGAAAATCTCTTTATAGGGGTATTTATTCTTATCACATTTTCTGTTTCTATAAGAAACTGCAAAATGGGTGAGAATGTTGTAAAGGGTAATTGTGGATGCATAGGATAAAGGTTACATTGAGAAGATGCAGTGTTTAAATTGAAATTGATAGTTTTTGTTTTTTCTCCTTCTTTCCAATAGGTCTTATTCCACTGCTGGGGATTGACGTGTGGGAGCATGCGTATTACCTCCAGTATAAAAACGTCAGGCCTGACTACCTGAAAGCTATTTGGAATATAATCAACTGGCAGAATGTCACTGAGAGATACATGGCTTGCAAAAAGTAAACCGTCAGCTTTACCTCGAGTACATAAAGCTCTTTGTGGCTGCTTTTGTGGTAGTGCAGAGTACCTCCGTGTACCTGTAAGCTGCTCTGTCGTTTCTGAATGTAGCTTATTCAAGTATTTGATAAACACAATTTAGTGCTATGACTCACTTCTTGTTACAAAGTTTTGTTATTAGGCATCCATTTGAAGGTATTAAATGCTTTGTATGATTTAGTCCTTTGAATGAACATTTTCTTCAGAGAGCTCAAATACCCAGGAGGTTATAAATGTCATCATAAAGCCATCCAAAGAATCACATCCCTCCACTATGGGGCCCCCGTGGAAGCCTTTCTGATCTGTTCTGCACTTATAGAAAATCTAGACTTTTGCCTGAGTTGTTTAATAATAAAACATTACATTTTTTCCCAAGGGAAATATTTAGTTTTCTATTGACAATTGCTTGTTTTGTAAGTAATCCTATGTCTAATATTACTTCTGGTAGATATCACCCAACGGTCTTTAATTATTTTTGACCACAATTTGCACAAAGTTAACACCATTTTGTCATTAAAAATTAATATAATGTGATTGCTAATTGAGCATTGCTTTATTGTGAGAAGGAACTAGCTGTGCATCTGAATTTTTCTATAGGGGCAAATAAAAGGCTTGTGTGTGAAATTTTGTCCTCAGACATAGAAATGTGTATTGTCTAAGTGCCCAAAGGGTGAATGCAGGCCCGGTGCTGTCTTCCCAGAAAGAGTGGCAGAGACGCTCAGTGGCGTGCCTCCTGCAGGAACATTTGTGCTGAAAGACTTGTTTTTGAGTCATTGCATCCATTTTGATGTTTTTCTCTTTTGGATAATGTACAGTCACTGTAGAAGCTTTATATTGCTGAGTGTTTTCAATGAAGGGGAAACTGCACATCATAGAGCAACACAGCGTACCAGATCATGTGCTGTTCGGTGTGGCCAAAGGAGCTGTTCGACGCGGCAGGTAGCCATGGTGTGTTTGGCTCAACATTGTTGTCCATCCTATGTGTCAGCGTCTTCCTCGTTGTCTTTTTAAAAAATGTTTTTATTGGTATTAGAGAGAGAGAGAGAGAAGATCAACTGGGTGTCCCCTGCAGGCACCCCGACCAGGATCAAACCCGCAACCTTGGTATGTTCCCTGACCGGGAATCAAACCCTTGATCTTTCAGTGCACAGGATGATAACCCAACCAACTGAGCCACACCGGCTAGGCCCTCGTCTTTTAATGGCTGTAGAATATTTTATCAATTGGACATTTCCTAATTGGTTTTTACAGTTCTGCTACTGAACAATTCATTTTTTTCTAATTGTTTTATTACAGATAATTCTGTGTTGAGCAACCCTCAGAGGTTTTACCTTCTATTGGAATGTTTTCTCTACAGAGGTTTTATTCTTAAACCTATTTAGTAGGATGTTTTCCCAAGTTTATTTTTTTGCCCCTCCCCACACTTTATTTCCTATTTTTTAAAAAATAGGTAGCTCTATTAAAAAAAAATATATATATATTTTATTGATTTTTTTTACAGAGAGGAAGGGAGAGCGATAGAGAGTTAGAAACATCGATGAGAGAGAAACATCGATAAGCTGCCTCCTGCACACCCCGCCCTGGGGATATGCCCGCAACCAAGGTACATGCCCTTGACTGGAATTGAACCCAGGACCCTTCAGTCCGCAGGCTGACGCTCTATCCACTGAGCCAAACTGGTTAAGGCAATTTTCCTATTTTTTAAATAGAAAATGGAATAACTTAGTAGTTTCAATATTGAAGACTGAAGTTTTTAAAACAATTAAATTCAAGGCACTTTTTCAGAATTCACAGAAAAGCATGTAGGCTTTCTGAATTGTCAAGTAATGAAGTAGATGATAACTGCGTGTGCATGTGTGTGGCCTGAAAATACTTCAGAGACTGTTCTCTACACACCACAGTAAAATGGCTTGCCTGGAGTACCAGGGAGTCATGTGATCACTGCTTACATATGTAATCTATGTGCCTGTATATCTGTACACAGGCAGTGAACTCCACAGGCCATCTGGGAGAGGTAGGGCCTTTTGGAAAGATGAGCTTTTGAATAGAAGTATTCTGCTCGGTTATGTTATGTATTGAACTAACAGAGACATGCAGAGACTACTGATGTATTTAAAGCCTTTTGGCTGTTACTGTGCTTTAAGAGCTCAACAATTCCCAGTGCTCACATTTCTGCAGGGCTCCCTTTTCGCTTTGCCTTCATGTTGAGGGAAAGCACACTTACTGAGATTTGCCTTTTCCTCCCTGTCAGATAGATATTAAGAGACTAAGATAATTTACAGAGTAAAGATTTCAGTCCTCCAGTGGAAAATGAGAGCAGGATGCTCTTCAGCCCTGTTATTTTTAAAAAATATTTTTGTTGATTTCAGAGAGGAAGGGAGCAGGAAAGAGACAAACGTCAATGATGAGAGAGAATCATCGATTGGCTGCCCCCTGCATGCCCCACACTGAGGATCGAGCCTGCAACCTGGGCATGTGCCCTGACTGGGAATTGATGCTCAACTACTGAGCCACTCCACTGGGCTTTGTTGAGCACCTTTAAAAAGTAACAGCAGAATCATAAAAGTCAGATGGACGTGCATGGTGAATCATATCTAAAACTTCATTTCCTGGTTTACTTTCAGGGGAACTGTTTGGGAAAGCTATTAGGTAACTTAAAATACTGTCTCATTTTCAGTCATACCCTATGATCCAGCAAGCTGATGTTCTGTCTTCTAAGATACTCATAGTACATATTAAAAAACCTATAAGATCCTGGTAGTTTTCACTTAATTCTTCATTTGTGAAACATTTACTTTCCTGTTGTAAGTGTGAAGTTTTTAGGGTGTTAGTAAAAGTCTGTCAACTATCAAAAGAGGTGTGTTATGCATGTGTGTCAAAACATCAACACTCTACAGTGCTTTACTTTTACTGTGGGAAAGGAATACTAAATGGTAGGTAGTTGAAATTTTACCCTTAAAACGCAGAAGGCATATGAACTCTATCTCCCTATCTGCAGTAACATCATCTGATAATGTAATGGCACAGTATTTTATCTACTAAGTTATAAAGTTACCGTAACATCTTAGAACATTAACCATACATGGAATATTGCCTAAACTCTGGAAAAAAGTAGAGTTATCACAAGGTGCATTTTAGCTAAAGTTCTGGACTTAAGTAAAAGGTGATCTTTTATTCCTGCTGGTGTTGGTGAGTATGAGCTTACCTCGTGCCCCTTTCCCTGGACTGCCAGGGTAATGTTTTGGGAAAGCAAGGTGAAGTTCACCTGTGTTTCGTGAAGCCGCGCTGTTTGCCGGTGTGTGTGCTTACAATAGTGAGTACTTCTGCTCTCAGATGCTTTTGGAACACGTTCTGAGAAACATGTGATGTCTCAGTTTGACAGGGAAAGAATGAATGCTCTGGAGTTCCTGCTTCCTGCTAGTCGTACTTTCGGTGAGTCCATATGAAAAACCTGATAAGGTCCTTAATTGTTCATTAGTAAAACATTTATTTTCCTATTGTAATGCACAACTTAGTGGTAATTCCACGTGAGCTTCTGACGCCCCCGCCAGAAGGTTCTTGTTCGTGTGTGTGTGTCTTTGGTATTGCGCACAAAATTCTGGGCCCATATTCACATATTTTTATTAAGCGATGCGATTTAGTAGCGTCATCGTAATGTAAATAATGGTACCCCCAAGGCTCATGAACACCAAACCCTACAGTCTGTGTGACGGCCTTGCTTCTGGGACTGCGAGGGCCCTCGGCTCACTCCTCTCCTGCTGCTTGACTTTGCACACGGCACAGAAAGAGCAAGGAATTAGGTCCTGGGAGGCCTGGGTCCTGGTGCCTTTACTCAGCACCGGTGTGATACTGTCAGCCTGATTTGGGCCTTGTTCCTCTCATGTAAAATAATGGGCTTGGACAGAGGATCTTAGGTGCCAACTCTAGCACATTAGGGATTTATCTGTTATTAACTAAAATGATGGTGGATAAATGCAGGCCGATGCTCTAACCATTGAGTAAAACCATCCAGGGCGGCATGGGTATATTTTCAAAGATTCCCAGGTGACCCTACTGTGCTTCCAGGGCTGAGGGCCATGAACAGCCCTGTAGCGACGGAGAGGGACCAGCCAGAGAAGCTGGAGTGCCCTGTCGCCTCTGTGCAGGGCTGCTTGGGTGGGTGACAAGCACACAGTGGCGTGCATCCACCGTTAGAGTATCAGACGGATGGGTTCACTGCCCTAAGAATCCCCTGTGCTCCACCTATTCATCCCTGGAAACCACATCCTTTTATTGTCTCCATAGTTTTGTCTTTTTCCGGAATGTCATATAGTTGGAATCATAGCGTATGTCAGATTAGCTTCTTTCATGTAGGAACATGCATTGGAGGTGTCTTTTCATGGCTCATTTCCTTAGCACTGAACAGTATTCTATTGTCCGGATGCAGCCCCAAGGCTCAACGACCTGTTTCCCTTTTTCTGCAATGGCCTTCATTCAAAAGTTAATCCCCATGAAAAGCTCTGTTCCCTCATCCAGAAAACCTCTGGTTTGCCTCCATTACCATAAGTAAACAGGGTGGGGGAGAAAGCAGTTTTACAGTTATTAGGAAAATAATACAATAAGCCCTAGCCAGTTTGGCTCACTGGATAGAGCATCGGGCTGGGGACTGAAGGGTCCCAGGTTCGATTCCCGTCAAGGGCATGTACCTTGGTTGCAGCTGATCGATGCTTCTCTCTCATTGATGTTTCTAACTCTCTATCCCTCTCCCTTCCTCTCTGTAAAAAATCAAAATATATTAAAAAAAATACAATAATTAATAATACAAGAAACTTGCGTACTCAAGACTGTAAAGCTATATTTGCCATACCCTGTATTTTCTCTAAAGCCACTAGGTGGCAGTATTTATATGCTTTTCTCCCTCCAGGCACTGCTGAAAACAGGATTGAAGTAAAAGAATGGTTCAGGGTATGGGAAGGACTTAAAGGAGCCCCCTCTCCTCCCCCAACCCCACCCCTGTCCCTGCCCCACTGCACACACACATTACTAGTACTGAACCTTTTTTTGTTCATTTGACAAAGGACGTTCTTTTTTAAAATTTTAAACGTTTCTTTTTATTTTGAAACAATCTCAAATTTATATAAAAGCAATTATAAAAAACAAGAACCCTTGTTTTTTCAGACTTTTTTGAGGGTCCATGGCCCATAGGATGCCCCATCACTGCCAAGTACTTTGTATCTCCTGCAAAAAAGGGTATTCTAGTACATATGTCCTAGGCAGCCTTCAAAATCAGGAACTTACATATTCTATCCTGTAATTCTCAGATACCATTCAATAACTGTCCCAATAATGCCCTTTATAGCAAAAGGATCCCAGTCCAGAATCACCACTGTGCTTAGTTATCATGTCTCCTGCCGTCGATGCTGCCGTGTGTGGTTAGAAGGTCCCCACATCACAGACGCTGTGCGAACGGTGGTACGGGGGGAAAACACTCTTTTCTTTGTTTTGTGCCTCCGATATATCTGGCCTGGGTAGTTAGCCTACATGCACAGTCTTGTAAAGGCTCCAAGCGGAAAGCTCTAAATCTGCCAGAGGTGAGTCTGTGGTATGCCGATTTCCATTCGCCCTTACTAGTTCTTTTTCTTAGTCATCTGAAAAATAATTCCCTTTAGGCCAGAGCTCATTTTTCATGCTCTTTTTTCAAATTCTTTGTTCTGACTTATTTAGGTTATGGGGATGGCATCCTCAGTTTTCAGAGGTTTTAGAGAAAAGCCTGTGTGGGTGTCAACCAGGATGTAGATGGATTTTGTTTTTTCCCCTTCCTGCCCATGAGTTTCTTCCCACAAGCAGGTAATCAGATATGTGTAGGTTATAATTCTTATTTCTTTAAATATTTCATTTGCTCCTTTCATCTCTTTCTTTTCCTGGGAAAAGTCACTGCTCTCTAAGCTTCAGTGTGATGCTGTCTAGTTTAGACGGCCCGGGTCAGACGGCCATTCCTCTGTGCTCTGTCTGCCCCCCTGTCCTGGTACTTATAAGTGGCTTTTAGATCTATTCTCTCCATGAAGCTTTGAGTTTCTTCAGAGGAGGAGTCAGGTCTTGATTCATTTTGTTACCCTTACAGCTTATCTCAGGGCTTGGATTTAGCCCATGGTCAGTTTAAAAAGGGAAACACTGGCCCGGCCGGCGTGGCTCAGTGGTTGAGCATTGACCCAAGAACCAAGAGGTCCCAGATTAGATTCTCGGTCAGGGTACTTGCCTGGGTTGCTGGCTCGATCCCCAGTAGGAGGCGTGCAAGAGGCAGCTGATCCATGATTCTCTCTCATTGATGTTTCTATCTTTCACTCTCCCCTCCTCTCTCTGAAATCAATAAAAATCTATTAAAAAATAAGTAAAAACACTGGTGAGCATTATTGCAGGTATCCTTAATGGCCTACAACTTGCACTTCAAGGGTCCACCTGTCTTTGTGTTGAAGTGGACCTAAAATTGTCCTCTGGGGAAGAGGGTGGCTCTGCCTCCTGCTGTCCCTTGGGCCACCTCCCTGCGGATCGAGCGGCCTTCTGCTCATGCGCATTGTGGTTGACTGCCCTCAACCCAGCTGTGAGGAAGGTGTGTGGACCTGCCTGGAACTTGCAGAATAGAATTTGCACTTCAGATGGTTGTCAAAGTAAAACCTCAAACTCTCTGCTGACCAATGTTCATAAAGATCAAGAAAAAGTCTTTGTAGAAGTCTGTCCGAAGCATACCTGCTTGGTACATGGCATGGATCCTTCCTCAGGGTGGAGTCTGCTCTCTCATCCTCATTCTCCTCGTGTTGAGAATCATGACGACAAAGGCGGTGCCGTCCGCCTGTTCTCTGAAATTTGTGAGGTCCTCTTCCTCTCTCCTTCCCCTCCTCCTTCTGGTACATCAACAGGAAAATGTCCCCTCAAATTATAGCATCAGTTCATCTATGTCCTGAGCAGCTGGTTGGTTCTCAGATAAGATTACGAAAAGTCTGACTTGTGTGACTTCCAAGTTTGTATTTTTATGTGTGTGGACCCCCAGAAAGCTAGTCTCTGCCAGCTCCCAGGCATGTACAAGGTTGGTCATTACTCCGTTGCCTGCATAACCGTGGGGTTACTGGTCATTTCCTGCGCTAGACCACCAGGCAGAGCCCATGGCGCGCATTGCATCCGCAGGACCCACTGCACTGCCCGTGTGCTTGATAAGTGTGGGTTGAATAACTGAATATGTCGAATCAGTGTGATACTTTCTATTTTCTTTACTGCCATGATGTGAGAGCCTCACATTATAAAACCTCTGCTCAGAGAGCCACAGGCAATGGTATTATTGCATAAAAACCTATCCATGTAAAAATACATCGCAAGACTAAATTTCATGCCTGCAAGATGTGGGCCAGGGGGACCAGCTTTTGTCATGATTTAGCAATGATCTGAAATGTTCCTGCTCTGCCAATTTGTCAGAAAATCAGACAAGAAGATTTCAGAGAAATGGTAAGACTAGATAAGGAAACCCATTGTGTGTGTGTGTGTGTGTGTGTGTGTGTGTAAGTGAAAGTTTAGGAGACTCCGTTGAGTGTGTTTTTTTAAACATAAATGATTTATTTATTATATTTAATGTAAATATGTAAAAACTCAAACCTATATAAAAACAATTTTTACAGATCTTATACAACTATAAAATCAAATACATGTATCATTTAATGCAAACAAAATTCAAAGACATAATTCAAATGAACCCCGCCCCCCCCCCCCCATGTTCTCCTTGGCAGGCTTCCCCACTATTCCCTGAGGCCATCCAACTCTCCTAACTCTCTCCTTTACTCAAATATTGCAAAATAGACATTCCTCTGCCATCTGCAATGCAGTATACCTCTTACCACTGTGGGGTTAAAAATGCCTCATCGATCTAGTCAGCTCGTTTCTGGCTTACCACCAACTTAAAGTGGTACTGCCTGGCGGCCATGTCATCAGTAAGCGCACTGCTAAGGAAATTGTTCTGTTCTCCTCAGACGTAAGGCAGGCTTCCACATCGCCCAGGAAGCGAAGTTTCCATTAAAATGTTTATATTACTACTGAGGTAAAATTTTACTAATTTGTGTAGAAAAACTTGAGAGTATTCAAAAATATATCAGAGGACTGTGGTTAAAAACATTTGGAGAAATAGCCCTGGCTGGGTGGCTCGGTTGGTTGGAGCATCGTCCAGTGTAGCCAGTGGTGTCGGGTTCGACTCCTGGTCAGGGCATATACCTAGGTCTTGGGTTCCATCTCTGGTTGGGGTGGGTATGGGCGGCAACCAACTGATGTTTCTCTTGCACATCTATGTTTCTCTCTCTCTCTCTCTCTCTCTCTCTCTCTCTCTCTCTCTCTCTCTCTCTCTTTTTGTCTCCCTCCCTCTTTCCCTCCCCACCTCTTTCTCTAAAACCAATAAAAACATATGCTTGGGTGAGGATTAAAAAATATTAGGAGAAATAGTTACTTATTGCCTATTCATTCAGACCCAAATAATCCAATTGATATTATTTCTTTGTGAGTGTGTGCATGTGGGGTGTGTGTGTGTGTGTTGCGGGGGAGAAAGGAGGAGGAGAGAAGAGAGGAGTTATTTTTTAAATATAATTGTTTAAGCTGGCCCTTAATTAAAAAGATATGTTTCTATTAATTTCAGAGAGAGAAAGGGAGAGGGATAGATAGAAACATCAGTGATGAGAAAGAATCATTAATTGGCTGCCTCCTGCACACCCTCCACTGGGGATCGAATTGTGATGCTCAACCACTGAGCCACATTGGCCAGGCTGGTCCTTAAATTTTGATGGTGACATAATCTCTTTTGGGATCTTTGAGGAGGATCAGACTGTATGCTTGCCTCTGACTGTTTTTAAGATTTTTAACATGAAGTTGGACTTCTTGAGATGAAAGGTACAATGTAGTTCTGGTAAGTAAATATAAGAATTTGAGAATGCATGTCTTGGGCAAATCCCAAGACTATTGCTTTTTATTTTCCACTTAAGTCAAATATTTTAAAATTTTCTTTGGAGATGGTGCTTACCATTTTGTTATATACTAGACTATTCGTTATATATTTTACCTAAAACTTACTGATGTTTGTTTAGATGATAATAAATAGGTTTATTATCTGTTTCCAGTGTTTAGTAATTGTCATGAAGCAAACCTCAGTTAAAATGTTTTATTTTCCTGACTTTACACAAATGTTTTCTGAAGTATTCTGTGGATTCTTCAAAAATACAGTATATACTTTACTACTGCCAAAGAATGTATTTGTCTTAAATTTGAGTTTTTGAACTCTAACATCTGTGAACACTTGAAATGGAATTATGTTTCAAAATCTAATTATGAAATTAATGTAGAATGTACATCTTGAAAATGTATGAGAGCCTCAATATTTAGATGGCTGTATTAAATTCAATTTCATGTTTTATTTTCTGGTTTTATTTATAGAGAAGTTCTCGTGGTTTACGAATAAAACATGTTAGATATTAATTAGCAAAATACACAAATGTTAAAATTTAGTTTTTAAATTTAATTCTGCCTTTGAGAAACAGCAAAAGTATTAAAGTCAGACCATCATATAAAACTTTTATATGTGAACATGAATTTCTACTTCACATTCCAAATCTGTGACGATTTGGGACACACATTATTATTTGACTAGAGGCTCAGTGCACAAAATTTGTGCATGGGTGCCATCCCTAGACCTGGCTGGTGATCAAAGCACGAGTGCCTGGCATGGGAGGGCAGGTCCCAACTGGCCTCTGGACCCTGGGCAGCACCTGGGTCCCTGGCCTCTGCACGCACCCCTCCTCCTGAATCATGGCGTCTGAGTCCTCACATGGAGCACAGCCGGATGCCGCAGGCCAGGGCGTAGCGTGGGCCTCTGGGCCACCCCGCAGTGCTGCATGGAAGCCAGGTGGGCAGCATGCTCTCTCCTGGCTAGCCTTACAGACCCACTCCTGCCCAGGGCCCCTGTGCTCCCAGCAGCTGTGGCCCAGCTCACCCAGAAGGCGCTGCATGGGTGTGGGGTGAGCTCCTCGCAGGCGCCGGCACCTGAGCACGGTGGCTTCCCTGGTGCATGGGAAGGGTAGCAGGGGGGGTGAGAGTGAGCTTGGCGGACACCCGGCATTCTCACTGCACCTCCTTCCCTGTAACCCCCGTCCCCAGGTAGCCAGTGAGAGGTTGCAGTGCATTGCTGACACCCGCCATGTTCCACGCTGCCCCCTGGTGGTCAGCACATGTCATAGTGAGCCATCAAACTCCTGGTTGAACTCCCAGTTGAGGGAACAATTTGCATATTAGGCTTTTATTATATAGGATTATTTTTAGTTTTCAACCAGATGTTTGGCATTGTGTAAGCCTGGCCCTAGCATAACATGGCTAATGGACATTGACTCTGCCATTGTGCTGAGCGCAGTGTCATTCCTGTTTACTTCAGTTTTGCTCACTAGTTTTATTGGGGCTTTTAAAATTCCACCCTAAAACTTTCCCCCAAAGCATTTGAGTTTTACTGTCAAAGGGAGAGACCATTAATATAATTTTGGTAAAGTGTCATCCCCTCAAACACTGATTTTTCCCCCCTCCTAGTTAAGATTATGTTAATAGGCTGTATTTGCATGTATGCGTACTTGCCATTATACAATGCTTATTGTCCATATCACTACTTAATTTGTTGACACATTTTATAGTATGCAAATACAAACTTAAAAATCATGTTAGAAGTTTCAGTTTGCATTTTACATTTTTCAAGGTGTTTATTTGGGTGTGTAAACAAACAGGTACACCCAGTTAAACATTCAGTGACAAACATCTTGTTGAGCCATGAGACTGAAGGTTGGTCCCAATTGAGGATGAATCAGGGTGTTTTAGTTGAAAAAAAAATCCCAACTCACACTGGCTTAACTAAGGAGGATATTGAATGGCTCATGTTACATAAATCCAAGGATGTGGTGGGCCGGTCCAACCACCCAGTGTGGACGTCAAGGATTTTCTATCTGTAGTCTCTGACATCCGCAATATGAACTTCATGCAAAGGCTCATTTTCTGAGTAGTTGTGGTTTGGCTGCTACCCAGCCAGGGCACCATGCCCTCCAAAGGGTCTCAGTCCACGGACAGATGGACAGATGTCTGTGGGATTACAGTTTTATGGGAGAAGCAATTAGGAAAAGAACATTCTAAAAAGGCTTCTTGTGGGAAGGGTGGTAATAGAGGGAAGGTGGATAAAAATAGGTAATCTCAAAGCTGAGGAAGAGGGGTTTTGGCCAGAGATATCTGGAAAGTGGTGACGTTCCTGTATGGCCCAAAGGTTCCCAGTTGAGGGGTGAACGGGGCAGATCAGCTGCTCTGTGGCTCAGCCCTGAGCCTTGCCCACCATGGCAGGACCCTCTTCACTTTGCCCACGGCAACACAGAGACTCCTGGAGCCCCTCGTCCTGGCAGCCCTGCCTGCTCCTGCTGGGGTCTGAGCTGGCATGTAGACAGGTTAGGACTAAGGTAAGAGTTGAATTATGGGCAGGTCCGCCTGGCAGAAATCTATTTACTCCATCGAGGGAGTAAGTCAGGAATATGGGTCATTCTATGGACACGGGAGTTTCGACCCTAGGTAGAAAGTGCCCTGGAACAAGGTGTTGGTGGTACCAACCTTGACTGTGCTTTGTGATATGGGGATGTTCTAGAGGTTATCAGGTGAAAGTCAAGGCCAGTGGAAACTGATGCACACGTTATTCTATTTACTTGGAATCAGTTATACTATCCTTAATCAAACCCTTGTGTTTGCTTTCTGGAACCATCTATTCCTGAAAATCCCAAAGGAAAACTGAAGAGAGAAAAAGAACTGCAGATAAGTGGGAAACTTGCTAATTCCCCCCCCCCCCCCCAAACATTGACTCTGTGTTGGCCCGTGGAAATGAATTGGTAATGAACCTGTTTACATATAGTCATGTGTTGCTTAAGGATGTGGATATATTCATCCTTAGGTGATTTTGTCAGTGTGCGAACATCATAGGTGCACACCCACACACCTAAGTGGTGTAGCATACTGCACACCTAGGCTGCCTGGCATAGGCTATTGCTCTTAAGCAACAAGCCTGTATAGCAAGTTACTGTACTGAATACTGTTGGCAATTATAACAAAACTAGAGGCCTGGTGCATGAATTCATGCATGGGTGGGGTCCAGCTGCCTGTCCTGATGAGGGCCATCAGGGGCGGGGCTGAGCCGGTTAGCCTCCTGCATCCCCTTTCCCCTGCCTGCCCGGCCCCGCCCCCGATGGGGGGGATAATTGGGAGTGGGGCTGACCAGGGAGAGGGGCCATGGGCGGTTGGCCAACTGGCCCTACCCCCAATTGGGGTAAGGGGGCCAATCAAGGGTGGGACAGGCCAGGGGGAGAGGTTGTGGGAAGTTGCGGGTGCTGATCAGGGCCCCCATTGGGCCGGTTGGCCGCCGCAGTGCACATCATAGTGACCAGTCGTTCTGGTCGTTCCACCATTTCTGTTACTTGGCTTTTATATATATAGATGCTATTTGTGTATCTAAACCTTTTACAGTAGTGTGTGTGTGTGTGTGTGTGTGTGTGTGTGTGTGCGCGTGTGTGTGTGCATGCAGGGGCAGGCAGGGATAGATGCCTGGGTTCCCCTCTTGCTCAGCCTGTGCCTCTTGCTCCCTCACCAACTCCAGGGCATGGCCGAGAGGGGCACAGATCAAGTGGACAGCACATGGAGCCTTGTCTAAACCACCCAGAGCTGGCAGTACATTCAGCATCATAGTCGGGTCCAGCCTTTTCTTTCAACATCGAAAACAAACTTAAAAAAACAATATATTTTATTGATTTTTTTTAATATATTTTTTTATTGATTTTTTACAGAGAGGAAGGGAGAGAGATAGAGAGTTAGAAACATCGATGGGAGAGAAACATCTATCAGCCGCCTCCTGCACATCTCCCACTGGGGACGTGCCCGCAACCCAGGTACATGCCCTTGACCGGAATCGAACCTGGGACCCCCCAGTCTGCAGGCTGACGCTCTATCCACTGAGCCAAACCGGTTTCGGCTATTTTATTGATTTTTTACAGATAGGAAGGGAGAGGGATAGAGAGTTAGAAACATCGATGAGAGAGAAACATCGACCAGCTGCCTCCTGCACACCCCCCACTGGGGATGTGCCCCCAACCAAGGTACATGCCCTTGACTGGAATCGAACTCGGGACCCTTCAGTCCGCAGGTCTCCGCTCTAGCCACTGAGCCAAATTGGTCAGGGCAAAAACAAACTTTTTGATTATAATCCCTTACAATATTATGGGATCACTGTGCTATATATGGTCAGTCTTTGACCAAAATTTATGTGGCACATGACTTTCAGTGATAGAAAACCAATTAGTAAATATTGGCCTCAATAAATAAATATCAAAAGAATATTTGAAGACAATCTGTTTGGCTGATTGGTTGCCCACAGACATCTGTAATTTTGTGTTCCAATTAGTAGGATGATGAAAGTGTTGAGGTCTCCTTGGAATAGCGGCTGCTTGGGTCGGGCGAGCTCTGGGGGCCATGGAAGGGCATGGTGAGGTCAGGCTGTGGGCTCCACCTCTGTTGGCTGCGGGCTCGCTCCATCGCACACCCCCATCAAGCCACACCAAGGGCTGTTGAGAGATGAGTGTGGGTTTGCTGGCACCAGCCCATCTCCCTGACCAGGGAACATCTCCAACTTCCAGCTGTAATGGGGGGGGGGGGGGGAGGTCAGTGAGGTCATTTTCACGTGAGACCAGCAAGCTTGATGCCCTAACTGACAGAATTGTCTTTGCTGTGTTCTGCAAATGGAAAAAGTTGTTTATGTTCTTGTGGGAAGGCTGTTTAGTTCTGCGGGTGAGGATGAAAACTCTCTCCCCCGGTTTTGCCCGATCAGACACGATGCCAGGGCCTGTGGTTAATATCTTGTGCTCAGATGCATTACTGTCTGACAGGGCTAAGTAGTGTGGTGGCCACAGCCACAATGTGGGAGGAAGCAGGCCTGGTCACACAGGAGGGCAGAGTGTGGCAGGAAGAGAGAGGCATCTGGGTCAGTGCAGATAAGCGAACGGTAGAGTGGGAGCAGTAACAGGTGGCCTTTCCTTTTCTCCCGTGTCACCGCATTCTGCCGCATTTCCTTTCCTAGCCGGTGGGAAGAGTTACTTAGAATGTGGAACATGCGTGGTGCAAACTCACTGGACTGTCATCACTCCTTCCCTCTCCCCATACCAAATAAAACCACTCGGTTGGAAGATAAATGTATTTTCAATGTTATTGGATCGTGCCAACCTGCTCTCCAGTGAATTGTTCAACATTGCCCCTCAGGATTGTATGGGAACTCTCATTTCTCCATATCCTTCTCAACTCTTGATATTTTCACATCTTACATTTTGCTAGTCTTATGAGTGTGAAGTGCTATTTCCTAGTTTTGATGGGCACTTCCCTAATTACCAATGGAGTTGAATTTTTCCCATTTGTTTGTTCACTGTTTGGACTCCTTCCTCTGAGGATTGTGTAGTCATTGCCTTTGCATGTTTAATTGGGTGTTGGCCTTTTTCTTATTGATTTGTAAGTTTCAAAGAAGTGCATATTTGGATGCTAACTCTTGGTTTGTTTTAAGGGCAAAGACTTTTTCTCAGTCTGTGACTTCTCTTTTAATTCTGTTTATAGTATCTTTTGAAAAATTAAAGTTTATATTTGATGAAGTCAAACAGATATTCTCCTTTATTATTTATGCTTTTTGTGTCTTATTTAAGAGATCCTTAGCTCTGGCTGTTGTGCTCAGTGGTTAGAGCATCGGCCCGAGCATCGAAGGGTCCAGGGTTCAATTCCCAGTCAAGGGCACGTAGCTGAGTTGCAGGTTCGATTCCTGGCTCCAGTCCAGGCGTGTGTGGAAGTCAAGAAATCGATGCGTCTCTCTCACATTGATGTTTCTCTCTCTCTCTCCCCCTCCAACCTTCCTTTCCACTCTCTCTAAAAATCAATGCAAAAAATATTGTTGGGTAAGGATTAAAAAAACAACAATAGATCCTTACCTACCTTGAAGTCATAAATATATTCTCCTATACTTTATGCTAATACCTTTAAGCCATTTTTCTTCTTTCAATATTTGAATCTTAGAGCAATCTGGTATTGATTTGGGGGTATGCATCTAATTTAATTTTTCAATTTGAAAAGTCATTTGCTATAATACTATTTATTGGATGGCTCATCAGTTCTCCACTGGTTGGTAATGCCATCTTTATCATATGTCAAGTTTCCATATATATACAGGTCAATTTCTAGGTTCTCTATTCTTACTCATTGATCTTTTTATCAATTGTGCACAGATATCAAACTATTTTCTAAACAGGTTTATTGCGGTCTAATTAACATACAGCACATTGCATATATTTAGTTTTTAATTTCATAAATTTGACTTATACATTCATGAAACCATCACTGCACTTAAGATAATGACCATCCCATCCCCCACAACGTTTTATGATGAGACTTCTTGGCAATCCCTTATCTTTGTCCCACTCTGACTCCTCACCCCCAGGTATCTATCCACTGATCTGCTTTCCATCGCTATAGATCAGAAATTTTCAACTTTTTTTCATCTCATGCATACATAAACTAATTACTAAAATTTTGCAGCACAACAAAAAATATATTGTACTTTTTGCCGATCTGACAAAAAAAGGTATAATTTTGATTCATTCACACTCGAAGGCTATTGTAGTGTTGACTGTTATCAATTTTTTATTTGACAATCTAAGGGAAAAGAGGTTAGTGCCCTGACTAAATCCTCAGGCATTGCATGTTTTTTTTTAAAATTTTTTTTATTGATTTCTGAGGGGAAGAAAGAGGGGGAGAGAGAAACATCCATGATGAGAGAAAATCATGGATTGGTTGCCTCCTGCAAGTCCCCCAGTGGGGATCAAGCCCACAACCCGGGCATGTGCCTTTGACCGGAATCAAACCTGGGACCTTTCAGTTGCAGGCCAACACTCTCCACTGAGCCAAACCAGCTAGGGCAGGCATTGCATGTTTTAAAAATTCTTGTGGCACACTGGTTGAAAGTTACTGTCATAGATTAGTTTGCATTTTCTAGGACTTTATATTAATGGAATCATACAATATGTACTCTTTTTTAAATAATTAATTTAACTTCGCACAATCGTGGTGAGATTCCTCTATGTTGTTGTGTACATCAAGAATTCATCCCTCCCCAAAAAAGGAATTCATTCCCCAAATAAATAAAGATTTCATTCCCTTTAATATTTTTGTTGATTTCAGAGATGGAGAGAGAGATAGAAACATCAATGATGAGAGTGAATCATTGATAGCTGCCCCCTGCCTCCTGCATGCCCCACACTTCTCAGCATGACGATGACTGTAGAATGCTTTAACTTCCTTTTGAATTTGCTTATCATCTTCCATTATTATCTATTTTCTTAGTCGGTGGAGTTACTTATAATGTGGAACATGGGTGGTGCAAACTTACTGTAATCTTAAAATTAGACTAATTTTTAAAAAAATATTTTAAAATGTATTTTTAGAGAGAGAGTAAGAGAGAGGGAGAGAGAGTGAGAGAGAGTAAGAGAGAGGGAGGGAGAGTGAGAGAAACATCAATGTGAGGGAGAAACATCAATTGGCTGCCTCCTGCACGCCACCAAACTGGGGATCAAACCTACAACCTGGGCATGTGACCTGACCAGGAACCCAACCAGCAACCTTACAGTGCAGGGAGGACTGTCTAACTGACCCATGAGCCACACAGGCCAGGGCTTGTTATCTTTATTTTTGAGATGAATTCTTGTTTAGTTTCTTCAAGTCTTCAATTGTTTGTTTTAGGATCATCATTGCTTCAAGCACTCTTCTCCCTTCTGGGCTAAATCTTCTTCCTGCTAAAGTAATATCAGTGATTACTGTTGACTTTAAACAAATAAACGGCTAGAAATGCCTCCAGCAAATGGCTTTATTTGGGAACAACAAACAATTGCAGTTGGTGACGTGCAGTCTAATGGCGAACCCGCAGGCCGGTCCAGAGAAAGGATGGATGTCCTTTTATGGACCTGGGAGGCTGTTGCAAAGGGAAATCCCATTGCAGGAAACGAAAGTTCCTAGTGACTTCCTATTGGCTGGCTACGGCAGCCTCCCATTGGCTGGGCTACAGCAGCCTCTCATTGGCTGGGCTACGGCAGCCTCCCATTGGCTGGGCTACGGCAGCCTCCCATTGGCTGGGCTACGGCAGCCTCCCATTGGCTGGGCTACGGCAGCCTCCCATTGGCGGGGCTGTTACTGGGCAGGAGGAATGCTCCTTCCTCCAGTGAGGCAGTGAAGCAGGTGCCTCCTTCGCTGTGGGGTCAGACGGGTGCTTGAGTGACGCGGTGTCGAGTTCTCACTTCCAGCCTTCCGGCTCCATTTTAAACGGGGCTCCGGTTTCTCCGTTTCCCCGCGGCCCACGGGCAGGCTCTGCTGTAAGTGCCCTCACAGGTGGGTCCTTGCCACCCCCTGGAGCTGCAGAGCTGGTGCTGGCGATGGGCGTCCCACCTGTGCCGGCTCCTCAGGGATCGTCTCCCTCTGTCTCTTCGCTGGTTCCGTTTCCGTCTTTCTCCCAGTACTCGCCTGTGCTTGCTTTCGAGCGTGGCCTTCAGTTGGCAAAAAAGTCCGTCACCAGGGCCCGAGGCTCCAAGATTCCGAGGCCCCCGGGTCCCGCGGCTCCGGGCAGGAAGGGCGAAGGTGTGTCCGGCAGACCCTGCATTCATTCTCCGAGAGAACTGGGCTCAGCCGCCTTCATGGGGGCGCTGTGTGTGTGTGTGTGTGTGTGTGTGTGTCGGGGGCACAGAGGGACTTCTAGGCCTGCCTTTTCTGTGACGTGGTTCTTTCTTCCTTATTGGAATATATGAGCTCAGTTATAATGGAAACAAGTCAGAATATTATGGGATTTAAGACAGGAATCAGCCGGGCGGCGTGGTTCTGTGGTTGAGCATCGACCTATGAACCAGGAGCTCAGCTCGCTTCCCGCTCAGGGCACATGCCCAGGGTGCAGGAGGCAGCCGATCCATGATTCTCCCTCATCACTGATGTTTCTCTCTCTCCCTGTCCCTTCCTCTCTGAAATAAAAATAAAATAAAGGCTGGAATCAGTGATTCTCACATCAATTCCTACAGTCTTCCTGGGATGGGCTTTAGGAATAAGGACAATATTTAATCAGGGAATATCAACTCCAGGCCTTCTCGCCCACAAATGAGGTATGGTCACTCGGTTTCATAGTCAGTGCTGTCAAAACCCTAAGTCCAGTGGAGTGAAGTTTAAAGATCGAATGGGCTTTGTATAGTGATTCGTCAGTCGGGCAGCATCAAATGGAGCAGGTAGGAAGCAGCCCCGAGAGCCATAAAAGGCAAGAGGCTTTATGGGTAGAAGGCGGGGGAACAAGGACTTTGTTCTGGGCCAAAGAGCAGGTAAGTTGTTGGCAGATTATTTTCCTTAGGGGGGTGGCAGGGGTCTATCCCGCAGATGGATTAATGCTGAGCAGGCGCCTCCTGATTGCCTGGCTTAAGATTCCAGGGCGGCGGTGGGGTGGGGTGGAGGGGGGGGAGGAGGGAGCTAAGACTGTGCTGAAGCCTTATTTTGGTGTGGGCCTGTTGCCTTGTCTTTAACGGTGCCATGAACACTATTACTAAATATAGCAGATGTCGATCTTGGAGTACATTTGTTCCCCAGTGCCACCTCGAGGAAGGAATTGGAATAGAGAGGCAGAGAGTATGTGCGAGTACTTATGTCCATTTTAGCCACTGAGCTACCTCTTTTGCCTTTTGCATGTATTTCTTCTGTAAAAATAAGGCCACCTACAATGGTACTGTGTCATTAAATAGTGATGCAAACATTTTTCCTGACTGAAGTCACTGACTAGAAAGAATTTTAGAGAGAACATGTTACCATTTAAATAAAAGGTGGTAATTTAGGCCCAATGCAGACCTGCTGATTAAGTGTGAGCCTTGCTTTCACTTTACAGCACAGAAAGCGATGGAAAAGTGAAAAAAACAACTGGCCATCTTAGCAGCTGAACTGCCTCTGTGCCAGAATGTTTCCCCTTCTGTACCGGAGACACCAGCTGGAAGCTGTCTGCTACCTCTTCCTAATCCCGGAGTTCCCCTTTCTGGTGAGCACATTGTTCTAGTGTGAAAAAACCTACTTCCTTGGGGGTTGTTGGGGGTTTCATGAGTTAATAAAGTGCTCAGAACAGTGCCTAGAACAAGTATGTCAAACTTGCGGCTGGCGGGCCACATGCCTCGTTTATTTTGACATGCTTGGCCTAGAACATAGCAAGTGCTATTTAAGAGTTTGCTGTTATTAGCCGAAACCGGTTTGGCTCAGTGGATAGAGCGTCGGCCTGCGGACTGAAGGGTCCCAGGTTCGATTCCGGTCAGGGGCATGTACCTGAGTTGCGGGCACATCCCCAGTAGGAGATGTGCAGGAGGCAGCTGATCGATGTTTCTCTCTCATCGATGTTTCTAACTCTCTATCTCTCTCCCTTCCTCTCTGTAAAAAATCAATAAAATATTAAAAAAAAAAAAAAAAAAAAAAAAAAGAGTTTGCTGTTATTAGTGGGCATTACCTGGATGTCAGGTGGTAAGAATACCTGAAAACAACAACCAGCACACACAGTCTATTGAGGAACCAAATAATATGTAGAAGAGGAATATATTACCTAACTTGTCAAGTAGGAGAAAACATCTGAGAGCAATCAAAGGAGAGTTAATAAAGAACAATTGGGTGGCCCAGCCGGTGTGGCTCAGTGGTTGAGCATCGACCTATGAACCAGAAGGTCACTGTTCGATTCCTGGTCAGGGCACATACCTGGGTTGCGGGCTTGATACTTAATGTGGGGTGTGTAGGAGGCAGCCAATCAATGATTCTCTCTCATCATTGATGTTTCTATCTCTCCCTCTCCTTTCCTCTCTGAATTCATAAAAATTTTAAAAAAAGAACAATTGGCCCTAACGGGTTTGGCTCAGCGGATCGGCCTGCGGACTCAAGGGTCCCAGGTTTGATTCCAGTCAAGGGCATGTACCTTGGTTGCGGGCACATCCCCAGTAGGGGGCGTGCAGGAGGCAGCTGATCGATGTTTCTCTCATCGATGTTTCTGACTATCCCTCTCCCCTCCTCTCTGTGAAAAATCAATAAAATATATTTTTTAAAAAAAAGAACAATTGGGTAAATTATCTCTGAACAATGGTACCATCAAATATACCGTTATAAAAAACTGGCTTTGGGTAGAAGGTTCACAGAAAGAAAGAGTAAGAAAGGAAGTGGGGATTGGAATAGGCTATAGCGGCTAAATAAAAATGGTTCTTATGGAACATGAGTCAGTGATATGATCTAAATACTATAAAAGGCAAAAGCCACATTTAGACATGGGAACAAACTGGCCTGAAGAGCAGAACATGCTTCATTATTCCATTTCCTTTGGCTCTTGCTGGGCCCCAGCTAAAAAAGCCTATTCAGACTTTCTTTTTGTTATATTTCCAAAAATCACATGTTGGCATAAAGTTGAAAGGAGTACAATCTTGACCTGAAGTTTGGAAAAAAAGAGGAATACGAACAACTATTAAGCACCCAAACCAGCTTGATGGGGACTTAACGACCTGTGGCTCATGTTTGGAAGAGAGAAGCTTCCATTACTGTATTCTGATCAGTCCAGAACAGTGGAATAAGAAATCACAGTGTAAAACTTCCAGCAGGGGGAATAAATACTGAACACCAGGAAGAACCTAACCACAAGAATGATTCGGTTAGTGGGACCAGCAGCCAATGGAAGTTGGGAATGAGAATATTATGGGTTCAGAAAACTGCCCCTCAGGCTGGCTTCAGCGTAAACCTGATCTCAAAATTGTCCTGAGAAAATACTGTGGTCAGTTAAGTCCAGTGAGCACTGATCTATCCTCCGTATTTCTCTGAGTGTAGACTTTAATTACTGTCCCCAAGTCCAAGATGACTAGGGGAGCATAATGATTACACTACACGCCTCGGAGTTTTGGGCACCTGTGGCCATCTCGTGATGTGCTGGGCTGCATATCTGGCGCTTCGGCCAGGTGGGCCACGCTGTCCTAGAACACACAGATAGGAAGGTACTGACATCAGGCCAGGCCTTGAGATTGGTCTCATGGCCCCTTCCCAGCATGCAGGCCTTCTTTCTCAGAAGGCCTGGAAGTCTCATTCCAAATTTGGGAGACTAAGGACTGGAAAAAGTATAAATAGAGTTTCCTCCATGTTGGGGGCCCAGAATTTGAAAGACACATTTTTCTCTGGGCCTCCACAAAATTTAATAATAAAATGTAACTCTTGCAGTCAGTGCTGCAGTTCAGCCTCTGCTTCGGCAGGGTGCTGTAACTGTAGTCGCTGGCCATGGAAGTCGGCGCTGCAGTTCAGCCCTTGCTTCGGCGGGGTGCTGTAGCTGCAGTCAGCTGGCCAGCTTAATAAAGGCTCTTAAATTTAAATTCTGAGTTGGTGGTCTATCTCGCTGAGTGAACCCATAACAGTGAGATTGATGGCAATGATTCCACTCCCCGTGGTTTCCCCACGTGTGCAATGGAAATCTCTTGGTTTTCATCTGTATTCATTTCATTTCATGAGAAAACCATTGAGGTGCCACTACCACTGATAGTAACACATGTGGTTTATGCAAATTGGGAGCAAACAGGGGAAGCAGGAAACAACATTGGTGTTGACCTGTGGAACTGGCTTGTCACTCTGGCCAGTGCCTGTCCTGCCAGTTAGGTAAAATGGCACCCTCTCAGAGATTCTTTCCTGACTTCTCTTATTGAGTTGGGCTCTCCCTCTACCCCAGATGGAGAGTACTGCAGTCAGGAAGTCTCACAATGATCTATCACTTACTCATTGTCAGCCTCCCTCTCTGAATGCATGATCCAGTGAGCTGGGTGACAGTCCTGTCTTTTTAAAAGCCCTATCACCCAATACCTAGAAGGGTGCCTGGCATTTAATAAATGCGCTTTTTTTTTTTTTTTTTTTTTAATGAACAAGAGGCAGCTCTTTTAAAAAAAATGTTTTCATTGAATTTTTTTTTTTAGAGAGAGATATCCCAATCCCTGCCTCCTGCACATCCCCACATGGCATTGAGCATAAAACCTGGGCTTGTGCACCAACTGGGACTGGAACTGGTGACCTCCTGGTGCATGGGGTGATGCCTAACCAACTGAGATGCACCAACTAGGCCAGCTTTTATATGTTTTTTTAAAAAATTGATTTTTAGAGAGAGAGGAAGGGATAGGGAGAGAGAAACATTGATGGGCTGCCTCCCACATGCCTCCCACTGGGGATCGAGCCCACAATCTGGGCATGTGCCCTGACCAGGAATCAAACTGTGACCTCTTAGTGCACAGGGGCCTGGGCAAGAGGCAGCTCTTTACGATAGGATGCTTTTGAATGGCTAATCACTTGCATTCTTTTGTTGGAAATCCCTGATTCCCTGTGAAAAAGGGCACAGGCGGGAAAGGCCAAGAATATGCATATCTAGGATTGTTATTCAGGATTTCCTAGTTTTGGCAGGGTTCATCAAGATGTCTGGGAGCCCTAGCTGGTTTGGCTCAGTGGATAGAGCTTCGGCCTGCAGATTGAAGAGTCCCAGATTCGATTCCAGTCAAGGGCACATGCCTGGGGTGTAGGCTCGATCCCCAGTAGGGGGCATGCAGGAGGCAGGTGATCAATGATTCATCATTGATGTTTCTATCTCTCTCTCCCTCTCCCTTTCTCTCTGAAATCAATAAAAAATATATTAAAAAAAAGATATCTGGGAAAGCCTGGATTTTTGCTTTGGGTGATGGAAGATGTATCTAAAAGGGCAAGAGCATGTGGTAGGATAAAATAGCCAATTAGAAAAAAAAGGCTGCCGAAACCGGTTTGGCTCAGTGGATAGAGCGTCGGCCTGCGGACTGGGGGGTCCCGGGTTCGATTCCGGTCAGGGGCATGTACCTGGGCTGCCGGCACATCCCCAGTGGGAGATGTGCAGGAGGCGGCTGGTCGATGTTTCTCTCTCATCGATGTTTCTAGCTCTCTATCTCTCTCCCTTCCTCTCTGTAAAAAATCAATAAAATATATTTAAAAAAAAAAAGAAAAAAAAAAAAAAAAAAAAAGGCTAAGGTTAGAGGCACAAGTGTTCTCTCCCACAACTTGTAGACTCCTAGGTCAGTGGTCCCTTGAGTGTGGCTCTTCCACAAAATACCTACTTGTGCGCACGGGCCACAAAGTTTCAATCGCATTGTATGTGCGTGCCCACATGTGGTATTTTGTGGAAGAGCCACACTCAAGGGGCCAAAGAGCCGCATGTGGCTCGCGAGCCGCAGTTTGCCGACCACTGTGCTAGGGTGATGAGATGTAGTAGTTCTACTGGAACATTCCTGGGTTACAACTGCTGTGCTGGCGTAATTCTGAGAGTGCTTCTTTATATCCTCAGCAGTTTCCTCATTTGGGTGACAAATTTTATGCTCATCCTGTCTTTAAGGTTCTGTCCACTCCCTTTCACCGTCCAGTCATACAGGGGCCACAGTGTCTATTGAGATAAGGATGGAATATGTGTAAGAACGGGGAGGAAGTGATTGCAATTTTGGAGTTCATAAATAATTATGAGGGGAATCTCAAATATTTATTGACCCTCATAATATGATTCTCCTAAGTTTTGCCAGTCAAATGGTCTTTGTGTTTCCCAATTTTCATTACCCAAGGACATTTGGGGCCATAGCTACAGGGATGAAGCTCAGGATGTGAAGTGTTCTGATGTTTTCATTTTCCATAGCCTTCATCACCATTATTTAAAATGTCTTCACAGCAGTCTATGGGCTTGGCATACCATAATTTAAGCATTCAACTTTTGTATATTTAGGTTGTTTCATTTTTTCTGTTGTATTTATTTATTTGTTAAGCCTCACCAGAGGATATTTTTCCATTGATTTATTTTATTGTCTATAGTTTTACATAAGTCTTTTTCCCCCCCAATTAACCCCCCCCCCCCCCGAGCCATTCCCACCCCGGGCGAGCCCCCACCGCCCTAGTGTCTGTGTCCATTGGTTATGCTAATATGCATGTGTACAAGTCCTTTGGTTGCTCTCTAACCCTCCCTCCCCTGGCATTTGTCTCTGGATCTAT